TTCTTTTCTCTCTCTTTCTCTGCAAAAATTGTTTATTTTTATGTTTGTTGATTACTGTCGATAAAATTTCATTCCGGATATGCGGAATTCAGACAGACTTTCAAAAATTATTTTTGGTTAGATTCAAAGTAAATTAAGTTAATTTTGATTTCAGCTTTCAGGGCTTGATTCAGCATTGTTTTAAGATTTGCATTCAATTGATGCATTTCTATATCAATTGCAGAAATTGATACAACAGAAGATTAAGGACTAACTTAAGTTTTCCTTCTATGTTTACTTTTATGTTTTGTTGTAGCATCAATGAATTAGTTTCAAATAGAAAGTCATTTGGGTCATAAGAAGAAGATCTCAGAGATTATATCTCCGACGTCTAAACTATATATATCAAATAAAATACGTTAAATCACGAAACGGGAGATTTGAGCTTTTCATTCGTTGTAGAAGGAAAATTGCTGCGGAGACGAGAGGCGCGCAAGCACGATGCAACTGCATTCCGATATGCTTGAAGGGGGGTGTGGCACGACCCGATTGAAAACGGTAGTTGAAATTTCCCCAAGCTGAAGGAATATAGTGGAGCATACATATATACAGACATATATGTAGGCTTCTTGATTGGCAGAGGTATGGTACAATTGGTCGCAGAATACGGTTGGCTGTTCCTTGTCGAAAGAACGACGAAGGATGCTTTCAAGGGGGTGGTGGCAGAGTGCGGGAGTTTTCAAGAGGGGCGAAAGAGAGGATATGGCTCAACTCGTTCGAACCATTCATATTTCGAATGAAAAGGCTGTGCGCGCACCGAACAGACCTCGATTGAAAGGAGAAGAGAATTATTATGATTATTATTATTAACCTTTCTATAGGAATGATTTTCCATTTTCCCGTTGCGTCTGTCTTCGACTTTTGGCAGAAATAAAGGCTATTTCTCAACCCATACCCCCTCACAATCCAACAACTCTCTAACTGAAAATTGCTTCCACTTTCAATTTGTGAGGCCAAATTGTACTTGTATTCAGTTATTAGAATTGCTTTTTGTTGGTATACTTCAAAAATAGTATTTAATTATTATTAACAAAAAAATTTAGGAAAAATTAAAAAAACTAATAACAAAATTGCTTTGTCAATTTTTTTTCCCACGTAAGTTATACGTAAGTTTTAGAATATAAAAGTCTTTTAAAGATCATAGTGGTTCGATATCGTAGAGAAGAGCATTCACAGACGGGAGCAGAGATGAACACCCACACACGCACTAATTACAAAGTATCGCATCAAGAGTATAAATGTACATATATATATACGCCCACGTAGCATGGATCTGCTCTTTGCAGACCCCAAACAAGACTCGCTTTGTGTACAATCTCTCCCCTGTGTGCCTTTATTTCTCAGAGGATTGAAGAAAAGGCACTCGCTCCCTCTATGGTTCTTGCAATACGTATATTCCTTATACAGTACAGGTCAGGACATTAATTTTTTCAAAACTATTTTCCATTCTCTATATTACATTTATCAGTTATACTCCAAAAGGGAACACCACAGAAGAAACCTACATTTGCTGCTCCATCGTTATTCTTATAATTATATTTCCCTAATTTGAAATAAATTTATATACTGTATCTCTTACAGCAGAGTTTAAGCGAAGAACATTCAATAAAAAAAAAATTTGCTAGTGAAACAAATAAAAAGGATGCTTAATTAAAATAATTGAATAGAAATAATTAATTAATAAAAAAAAACACGTAAATTGAAAGGTGAAATTTTCAAAGCCACACCTAATTGGTAGAGCATATACATGCAAAGACACTCACAGAAAAAGCGGAAAAATCTAAACCAGGGAGTTGTCTTCAAAAAATGTACGGGGCACTTTTTAATTGGTTCAGCGGATGCTGCACTAGATGAAAATAAATTTTGAGATTTTTTGAAATCTTCGAGATAATCGAAAATTAAATTTTCGAGATAATCGCTCCACAATACCACCAAAATCTTAACCCGGGAGTCTCGAACAAAAAATGTATGGGACACTTTTTGATTGGTCCAGCAGATGCTGTGCTACATTCAAAAAATTTTGGAAAAACTTTGGAAAAATTAAATTTCCAAGATTATCGCTCCGGAATACCACTAAAGTCTTAACCTGGAAGTTGTCTTCAAAAACATGTAAGGGGTACTTTTTGATTGGTCCAGCGGATGCTGCGCTAGATGAAAATAAATTTTGAGATTTTTTGAAAACTTCGAGATAATCGCTCGGGAATACCGCACCAAAGTCTTAGCCCGGGAGTCTCGAACAAAAACAGTATATGACGCATTTTTTGATTGGTCTATTGCGGATGCTGAGCTAGGTGAAAATAAATTTTTGGATTTTTCGAAAAATTTACAATTACTGTATTTTTGAGATAATCGTGTCTTAAAAATTTTTTTAAACTAATTTTTTGTAATGTAAAATGTTGAATGAAAGTAAAGTATCATTGAAGTTGAGCATTGTTTTGGCGGAACAATATAAATATAAAATTGTTGGCAGCATTGAAAATAGGTTCATTCTTATTGGCAAGTAACTGCTCCGAATGAAACGTCACGTTGTGAGTCTGTGTCTCTGCTTCTCATTTGGTTAAGAATAACATTGTCAGCGTGTCACATATACAATAATAAGTGGCTTCCTAATTTATAGTTTCGTCCTTTGTCCACATTCATTGCGCAACAAAATGCTAAAAGAATCTAGTTAAACTTATATAGTAATATATGAGAAAAGAGATCAGTCCGGCTTTAGTGACGCGACAATAAGAAAAAAGAAACACGATGTAGGCAGTAATTTTGAGAACAATACATTTCAAGACGAGAGCAGAATAATAAAACATCTTTTAGTGTTGTGCCGTTTGATTCTTAGTATAAACGAATTAAAATTCTTTTCAAAATAATTTCTCAACTAATTCCATAAAAAAACAAGGAAAAAACAAGATGTGAGATATTTTAGTCACTTTAATATCTAAATATTGTTTTTTTTTAATTTTACAGTAACTTTTGAAAAATTTTATCAAAAATTGAATTTTTCAATTAAAAGTCTAACATGTTTTACATCATTTTCCGCGCGATCGTTGAAGGTAATTTCCTGAGTAAATAAAGATTCTTTTATGAGAGCACAATATCAAAGTAACGAAAAATAGAGATACGATATTGAGAGGGTGTCTTGAGTAGCATCCTTAATTTGTCAAGACGCTGTCAGCAAGGCTGTAATAACATGGGACACACACAGTAAGGGAAAAGAAAGACGAAAGAAAAGGTGCGGCGGTGAGAAGACTCCGATGAGGTATTCCGGTCACGGGGTGGCATCACTGCCACTGTCACAGTGTTCAAGAAGGAGGGTTTGGGAGGGTTGGTCTCAGCAAAGACGTCTTTATATATATATATATATATAGAGAGAAAAGAAGGGACGAGGTATCTCATCTCCTGGACTCCTCGCTATCATATCATAAAAATAATCATCCCCATCCAATGAAGCCCGCTCTACTTTGATCTTTCGCATTTGTTTCTTTCAAGTAACCCGCATCTTCATTTTTTGTACCCTGTAATTTCAAATTGTCGTTTGCTTTTTAGAATTAATCGAAAAAACAAGGGATCTCGCATTTTTTCCTATTACCATAAAATATGCGGTGTTCAATTTGTTAGATTTATTTGCAATAATAAATAAACAAATAACAATATGAATAAAATTAAAAATTTTTAGATAAAGATAGAGCACATATTCAAAACACGTGTATTTTGGGGGCGTTGCCTATACTAAAACACGCCCATAAATTGATTTTTTAAGCCACGATCTAATTTAGGCTTTATGTAAGAAGAACTATTCTAAATGAGCGGAGCTTAATAAAAACACACCCATTAAAGGGCGGAGTTTAAAAAAGCCACGCCCAGAAAATTAATTAGCAAAAGAGCTTTAACCTTATAAAAAGCAAAATTAAAAGGGCGGAGCATACTAAAACACGCCTACTGAAGGGCGTGACTTCAAAGGAAACACCCTTCATAAATTGGTTATCGAAGCCAGGAAAAATATTTAAGATTTACTTTAAAAAAAAATAGGAACTTTGGTTAACGTTCTAAAGCCATAACGGTCGTTGTCCACTAGGGAATTCTAGCTTATATTTAAGTCAAATTTGTTGCTAAAGTATATGGCACTCGAGGGGTGTAACTACAATAAGACACGCCTAAAGAAGGCGTTTCTTGACAAAACCACGCCTACAAGTAAGCACTTTTGAAGAAAATTGTATACAATATTTTGAAAAATCGTCAATTAAGAAAATTGATGTTATTTATGTTTACTCAAAAAAATTAGTCATTTTTTTTTTATTAAAGGTGAATGTAACGATATAGCAAGTGAACAGTTTTTTTTATTTATATATATATAAAAATTACTATCCCTTTTTCTAATGTGGTCTTAAGATTAATATCCTGAGAGGATGTAGCATTGGATACGATCTCTGAAGTTGAGGGTGGAAGGAAGAAGAGGATAGACGGATGAACTTTTTCCGCCAAAGCAACTTGGTGCTTTCAAAATAAAAAGTTAATGAGTAAGAAGGGGGATGATGCTATTTAACTCAGGTCGATGAGTCGAACGAGGATCAATGCAAGAAATTCCTCGCTTCTTTTATATATATATATATATTGGCTTTGGCGGAAGTTGAGAAAGAGAGAGAGACAGAGAGTAGGACACCACGATGTAACGTTATACGTGTCTTGTTTCATCGGAAATGGCAAATTTTTTTTTTGTTTCTTTTTGAAATAATTTATTTCGATTCTAGAGAGTTTGTAATGGGTTTAAAGTTAAGTACATTTCAAAAAGTATTTATATGTGCTTAACTATATATATATTGAGTTTCACATTTGGAATTCAATTTTAACAAAAACAGAATCGTTAAAAAAGTTGTAAATCATGAAAAATGGTATTAAAAAGTGAATTTATTAAAAGTTTTCATTTCTCGACTATTAAAAAAAAATAAAATATTTCTCTTAAAACATACCTGGAATTCGTCACTGCTGTACCATTATTTTTCGAGATTCTGCAACAGAAAAAGAAAAAAAATTATTAGATTCATATATTCATAAAAAAAAGTAAAAAAAAATTTTCAAACCAATTGCAAGTGGAACAAATTATTTAATTCTGAAAAAACGAGAAACATGAAATAATTTGTTAAACATTCTCTTTAGAAAAAAAGACGATGATAAAAAAACCTGCAATTGACATTTTAGCTCTACGCTTCACTTAGTTCCATTTATATATATATAAAAGTCGTGCGGCGATTCACCCTTTCCCGAGAATTGTATCAAATGGACGAATTTTTTTTATCGTTCCTCTCTGTGTCTGTAAAAGTTTATTTCCTATATATATATATATGTGACGCTATTGACTGATTGGTGACGCGTATTGGCTTTCAAAAATAATTCCAAACCAGAAATATATATATATGTATATATATATATGTATTCATGGGAAATCCTTTATTCAAGCCGAATATTTCTGCTTAATCGATTGCATCAAACGTGTAATGCCATAGACAAGGGGGAATGGGGGAGGGGAGGACAAGATAGGACAGGAATATATATACATCTCTATAGTGTATTCCATCTATTGAATGCACAGAGGGTATATCGACTATGCACGCGACACGAGTTAATGAGAGGATCACGTGCATAATGCATATAGCTAGATTATATACTGCAGTCAAAGTACTAAGAGCCATCTATAATATACAAGAGTATGCACTCGATATTCTCTATCGAACATAAGCGCAAAACTTTATCATACAGAATACACGATGTATGCATACTCAATAATAATAATTATATAATTAATTTTCGTTCAAGCTCATCAAAGCTTACAATTAAAAAAAAAGTTTATTTTGATGACGGATAGTAATTATATTCTGGTGAAAATACGATTTCTAAAGGGAAAGGATTTATTGGAAGTAAGAACATAAGTAGGAGGAGTCACATTTTTTGGGAACCGCCCACAAAGCAGCTTTTCATCTCACATTTATGAAAAAAAATTTAATTTTATAAAACAATAATTCAAAGGCCACTCCTATTAAAGGGCGTTGTCTAATAAGCCACGCCCATAAATTCATTGATCCGCCCTAAAACGATTTTTCAATGTAGGTGGTTTCAAAAAAGCTCCTCCTTTCGGTGGGAGGAGTTTGTAATTGACACATTCTTTGCCCTTCGTCAACATTTTCCCTTCTGTATTTTAAATAATAATTTCAAATTCATCTGTAAGCTATTTATTAAAATTAATTTTATAAAACCTAAAATGGGAGGTGCTACTTTAAGGAGGTGTATGCATCGAAATTTTGTAGCATGTAAGTAATATATTTCTATTTGGTGGGGAAAGGGGCGTTTTAACCAAAGTAGGTGTGGTTTACATTCTAAATAGGCGTGGCTTACTTAACAGTAGGTGTGAACGTTTGTACCAAAGTGGGTGTGAATAATATTCTAAATAGACGTGGGGAAAGGGGCGTTTTAACCAAAGTAGGTGTGGTTAACATTCTAAATAGGCGTGGCTTACTAAGCAGTAGGTGTGAACGTTTGTACCAAAGTGGGTGTGAATAAGATTCTAAATAGGCGTGGGGAAAGGGGCGTTTTAACCAAAGTAGGTGTGGTTTACATTCTAAATAGGCGTGGCTTACTAAGCAGTAGGTGTGAACGTTTGTACCAAAGTGGGTGTGAATAAGATTCTAAATAGGCGTGGGGAAAGGGGCGTTTTAACCAAAGTAGGTGTGGTTTACATTCTAAATAGGCGTGGCTTACTAAACAGTAGGTGTGAACGTTTGTACCAAAGTGGGTAAATTTTCATAATAAGTAATTTTTCATATTTTTTTTGTTAATATTAACACATAATATAGTAACAATAATATTATTGAATAACTTAATTTTCAATTGAAAATATAATTTTTGAAATTCGTAATATTATTTTGTTTAAAGCTCCACTTATAATATAATAATCATTCCTGTAAATATAGTAGGGGTAATAAGTTTGGTTGCGAGGTCATGAAATATTCAGATGGAATCAATCCTGACTGGGGATGTTTGAAGCAATGGACAGAGGGGTTGAAAAAAGAGAAGAAAAAAAGATACTCCCTTGGGCCGTCTTATTCAAGTACTCTCAAAACCATTATTTATTGTCCCTCTTTCCCAGTGAACGAAAAATTATTGTTATACCAATAACATCTGTTTCCTATTATTATCGAATTTACAATATTGAATCGTATTAATTATTACAAAATATAATATTTTCTATTAGTAAAACTAAAAATGAAACAAACTTGTGGGTTATTAGAGACCAGTTTCATTTTAATGTATATATAGTGCTAACTTGCTGATATGCCTTAAACTTGCGTCGCGGAGTTTGCTTCAAGGGTTTAACTCATAAAGAGAAACAGAGGCTTGCTTAGCCCTCTAGTTTATATATGGCTATAGGGTTAAAGTAGTTATGTTTGTCCTTTGAGTCGATAGGACGACGCTGCAGGCCAACATCATACTAACCCTTCGGGATTCGATCTATCTACCCTAATGAGTCTAACAGTCTATACACTTCCAGATACAAATAACTTTAACGCAACAAATATTACAACTTCCATTCAAAGCTTACCAACATTCTCACTCGGAGAATCCTTGTTGACAAGTAAATAATTATATACTAATAAACAAAATAATTAACATAAGCTTTTTTTTTCCTATATTATTTTACGAACGATTAAATATGATTCATAAACTTTGTGTGAAAATGAAATAAATAATAATATATTATTAAGGAGGAAAAAAAAAGTAATTTTTAACAAAGTTGAAAAAACAAAGAAAGGTGTAATCACCTGGTCCAGTGGCTTTCTTTCTGTATATATATTCACTCTTTTCACGCTTCCAATGGTGAAAGTAATTGCACCAAGGGGGCGAAGGTCACTCGAAAAACCCTTAATTAACGCTTCTTTGATTCGGCGCGAAGGAAAGGAACACGAAGGCGAATGCCTTTTGTTTGCCCCGCTTTTTCATTCTCCATTCGCCTCTCTCTTTCTCTCTTGACTTTGCTATTTACGTCCAAGAAAAGTAGCAGCCATCATCCATGTCTCTTCACTCTTTCATTGTTCATGGAAAACTCGACGACATTTAACAATAATAATAATAATATTCCTTGTATAATAAACGCAATTAGCGCAATTGTTCTACTATATAACTGAATTTATTTTGCAATTACGAGACGTCAGATTTTGTAACATTATTATTATTTTACCTCTATATATAAAAAGCATCATTAAAAATATTCTATCTTAATTTCACACATTTTCCACTCGAAACAAAAAATTGTTAAAAAGAAATGTACTTAATACTGTTATAATCTCTGCATATTCTGATATACACCTAATAATTTTCATAAGTCCCGCCTACTTTTATAATTACCAACGTTAATAAATCTTACTCACATTATTAGAATATGCCAAACATAATTAGAATCTGTACAGTTAATTAGAAAATTATAATTATATATAGCCAACCAAGATATACATTTATTTTTCTAAGCCACGCCCATTATAATAATTACTTTCCACGTTAATAAGCTTCGCCTAAATTATTAGGATTTGTCTATTTTAATAGGATCCGCCCACTTTGGTACCACCGATTTTGATAAGCTCCACCCACTTTAATATTCGCAGTCTACTGTTATAATACCTTTGAATGCTCCGCCCACCTTTCATAAGTACTGCCTACGTTGATAAGCCCTGCCTACTTTATTAATATTCACTAATTTAATTAAGATACATCCACTTGGATATCATTGATCTATTTTGATAAACTCCGCCCACTTTAATTAGGATACGCCTACTTTAATTATTAATGTGGGCGTGGTAATCATAGTGGTGTATACCACGCCCACATTATTAGGAACGCCCACTTAATTAAGGATTCGCCTATTTTTAGGATATACGCCTACTTTAATAGTATATATTTGCCTAGATTCTTCTGAAACTAGTTACTCGGGGAGTTTTTTGTAATTGCTTATATAATCTAAAGACCTTTTTTTTGAAAATAGATCGGGAGTTGATTTTTCATTTTTATTACAATTACTCACTTTAATTATAAGAGTATATTAAAAAAAGCAATGCTTTTCAGTTAGAGTAAAAGAGAATTACAGCGGAAGTGAAAGAATATAGAGAAAGCGAAATATTCAGAAACAAAAGATAAAAAAAGAATAAGCTCTGCGTATATAGCTAATGAGTCGCAGAATGATTGATTCATTATGCGTTCATATATAGTCATACTTTCACTCTCCCCTCTTTTATTTTCCCTGCTCATATGTATATATCTTCATCTGGTTGTAAATTAATTTTCCATTTATAATGAAAATTGTCAAATGCGCGCATATATAAATACTACCAGAACATTGTGGGAAGTATATTTTGTGATTAAAAAAGCATCGAAATCTGTGAAGCTCTCTTTCACATGTGTATGGCAATTCGTTAATGAATATAAATGACGAGATGCGTATATATTTGGTATACATAATGGGCGACATAAGTCGAGTAAAAAGTCTGCTGAGTCACCTGACTCTGATGGTATATAGCTTACTCATCGGGCTTTTATTTATTACTTTCTCTTATCTATATGTGAGGTTCAATCTCAGTGCTTTATATATAACAGCTTATACAATTGCGATCATCCCTGTCGTTCATTTGGTACGCTTCGACACCTAGAGGACATTTCTGATCCGTAGATACAAATATATATATATATATATATATATATATCTGAGCTTACTGTGCAAATTCAACACAGTGGAAGCATGTATTCATTTCCCAAAACTTCAGGACGACGACGACGACGACGAAGAAGTGACGTAAAAGCGTTATCGGACTATTGTCGAGGCTGTCTGCCTGTCGCCCCCGGAGATGGATCACGTATTCCTAATATAATACCGCAATGTCGTGTGCAATAAAGGCCTTTTTGTATAGAGGCATGACCGAGTGCTTTGCACTTTCGATACGCCATCACACATCACGACTTTGTGACTCGA